CCCCAAAACCCCAAAACCCCAAAACCCCATGAGATAGATTGTGAAAGCGGCTTAGTGAGAAAAGTCTGAAATATAAAATTATGATTAAATTAAGTTGTTTTTATTATAATAAAGGAAAATAGAATGCGAGAGGCATTCAACAATAACAGTAATACGCAGCAGTAGCAGCAAGTAAATAAGCAAAAGCTACAAAAACTTTAGCCTCATTAATAGAATTAACTTTCTCAAAGATCAACTTAAGCAGCTCATTAGAAGACAAATAGTGTCGGTAGCAAAGTCATGTCTATGAACAACTACAAAGTTATGGGCATGGATGAGCAGCAACATCAGCAGTATCATGCATAAGCAACTTTAAACTCCCAACAATCTAATTCAAACAACTAGTTTTAACAGTAAATGGGTAAGTAATTCAAATCATCAATTGTAGAAATAACATAATTCTATGTAGATTAGAAGCATTATGGTCAGTAGCACTAGCATGAAGCATTATTTAACTAACAGATTTTGAGCTCTTAAAATCCATCATCAGCAGTTTAGCATGGCTTTATTTAAGGAGCCAAAACTCACAAAAAGTCTAATTCATTGATGAATTCTAAAATAGCTCAAATGCTGCTGAAAAACACTCCAAGCACTGGAAATCACATCAATGAGCAGCAACACTAACAGATCATAAACAACTAAAAATCTTAAAAAAGTTAATAACCCATACACTAATAGATTCAGCAGCATAACCCTCTGCTTCAGTAAAAACAACTCAACAGCAATACTCTGTACCAGTAGTAATAGCAATATTTTTATTAAGCTCAGTTAATGACCGCTGCTTAGCAAAATCAGCAGCAACACTAATAATAACAGCATTAGTAGTAAATTGCTAATCAAAACGGACTAATTGACTTCAAGCATCTGAACAAAAATGCGTCGAATAACTTGACTAATAGCCTAATAGGAGGGCCAGCTGTTTCCCATCAATCTAGCTTTAGCAACTAAGGGATAGAAATAGGAAGTGGATAATTAAGTGTGGATTTTTAATAACAGCCCCATCTTTTAGAAGAAAATATGAGTGAAGAATTATTTACTAGAAATCTCAATGCACTCAAGCAAATCTAACAGATAAGTAAGCATTAATCACTCACAAAGCAACAGCAAAAAGCAATTCACCAGCAGTAGGCTTAGTTATAGTAATAGCTTAATTTAGATGCTTATATTCAGTAAAATCTTATGACACTATAAGAACAGAAATAAATTAATCAACAATTAAAAAAGCAAATAACTACAAAAGATAATCAGGTTGCAGTTAAAGGAAACAGTGCTCAGAAAAATGTTAAAAAAGTTGTTCAGTAGCCAGTTAACTAAGGTTACAGTCATCATAGGACTAAATCTGACACCTACAATAACAGGGGTAGTCTTGGAAAGGGATAATAGCCTTCCTCTATTAAGAAAAATGCAGCAGGAAGCAATCATCAGAATGTGAAGTAAATGATAGAAGCCTTAGAGACTGTTAACAGTAGATAAATCGTTAATGCTAATGTAGGGGGAACTCATTAAAAGACGAACAGCATGAACTTCATGATAAACAACACAGTTGAATCACAAACTGCAAATCAAAAGAAAATCGTCAAAAAGGTGCCTAACTCAGCGAGTCACTCTAAAAAGTCTAGTTATAACAATCATACCTTGTATCAATAGATTAATAGCTCAGGAGCTGGAATCGTTCCAGGTCTTGGACCGATGAACTCTAAAAAAACTTAAGCTGATAAGTACAACGAGTTGAAAGCAATGTATGATGATTTGCTAGAAAGGCATTATGCTTAGTAGAACTAACTCAATCAGCCTCAGAATATGCAGCTCAAAGGTAAGGATCAATATCCTTAGAGAGGCATTAATAACAATTTGATAAGTTTCTAGAAAGTTAGTAATTTCATGAATATTCCTTAATCAGTGACTATATAAAGCTAAAATGATTAGCAACTAGTGTTTGACTAGAATTAGAATTCAAATACCCCAAGATTATCTGGAATTAACAGTAAATCAGATCAGCCAAAGCATCAAATACTTTAAAAGATACAGTTACAATCAGAAATTAATGCCTACCAAAATGCAATTCTTGAAGCGAGTAACAAGAATATCATTTAAATACCTGCAAAACTACTGAAACAATAGCAAGCGAAGCTAGAATTATAGTAATAATAATAGTAAGAGAAGCTTTACCCAAAAACTGCTCTTAAGTTAAACTTGCCTCAAGGACAGTCAAGAAAAAATGCTGCGGGCAGGCACAAAAGATCAGTTTCTGATGGAAATGAGTAACTTTTTAAGTTTAAGCAGCAATAATAAATGCAAAAGTATCTTTATCCATAGCCTTCCAATCAAAATTTTAAAGCACTAAATGGGGCAAATGGTTAGCAATTAACAATTTAGCCAAATTTTATAGACCAGCATATAGCTCCACCTATGAATTCTGAAGAGACTATTTAATCTAATAGAAACGGTAAGGCTGTCCTAAGTTAGCAGTAAAGTATTTAGAATTTGATTCAAGGACCTACTCCTTATATGCAAGCCAATCATCATCGAAGAGTGAGTGATGACTATCTTTAAAAACAGAAGAAGTCATAATAATTACTGCAAAACAGCAATGGTCTAATCTAGCAATAGGATCTAATGCATCAAAATCTGCAGTATTCAAACAATCAATCAAAGAACACTGGGTTGTCGTTTGTTGGGGAGAATATCAACTCAGATGGATCACAGTAAGACAACTAGAAGCTAAAGACTATAGACTTTAATGTAAAAGGCTTCTTGCTTGAAATGAGAAATAAACACACTAGTAATCATACTGGGGCATATGGAGGAGAACACTCTCAGAGTATGAATATAAGAGGACCTAACAATACTGAACTTATCAATATCATTGATGAGCAGTATTAGCCTTAGTATTCATACATTCCTCCATCCCCTAGTGATTTCAAGAACGAACCAAATATTCATAAAAACAAAATGGCCTTGAAAAATGGGAAATAGTTCGCTATGATAATAGAAGAGAATCATCATTATCAAAATTCCCCAATGGAAATAGTAGAGAATTTCTACTAAAACGAGCATGAGTATATGATTCATGGCTAGTCCTTTGAAGAGCCTAAGATAAATACAGTTAATCTTTTAGATAGTTAAAGAAAGCACATCATTATATCTGATTCTTAGAGCAATCAGATGATGTCTTAAGCCATATACAAGGGAAGCAGCATGGAATTTAAAAAGAAAATAAAAAGTGCTAAAAACTAGAGGCTTGACTAAAAACGCTCCTCATCTCCCAATATAAACGAATTTGACAAGAAGCAAACTATATTTGCTCATAAGAGTAATCTAGTTTAAGTCTCTCATAAGAGAATTAAATCAGATATGCCAGAGATCCCAAAGAAATTGTTCCAAGGTGGCAATATCGCACCCTAGGTTAATCAGAAGTATCAAATACAAACTAATAATAAGAAAGGAGAAGGTGTCTTGAACAACATCATCAAATAGAAAGTATTGTAATAGAACATCTCATCTTCAATCAATCAAAATAGCTCATATAAAATGGGAAATGGCAGTGGCTAAAATATGTACATTCACTCTGAAAAGACTACCCCTAAAAAAATAATGGGAAAACAAATATTGAACTTTGGATTAGCCCCTGAATAACTTTATCAATAGTAAAAGTAATTGAGCCAACAATTTGAGGGCAGTGAAGGTAAAAAAGTTGTGAATGTAAGTGTAGATCTAATGAAAGATGGATTCAGCGCTGGAATGCTAGTTGATGAAGACTTGCAAGAAAACATCTCCTTCCTAAATGACTCAAACAATGAACCAAACAATTATGATCAAAGTGATAAATGGTTGCAGTAGGAGAATTATTCATCTTTAGAGAAACAAATGAAAAAGCAAGAAAAGGTGGTGTAAAATCAGCAATTAGTGATTAATAACATTCCAGCTTAAAACAAACACTAAAAGTTGTTATAGCAGCAAAAGCAACCTATAACGAGAGTGACTAAGAAATCTATTGTACCTGGATCAGCTGGTATAGTCATTTAAGGCCAGCCATAAAGCAAAGTTGCTCTCAGTGGTGGCAATGAACTTGTTCAGAGGCATGAAAAATATAAGAAAATGATTTTGAAGTATGATAACAATGTGGATAATTAGAATAGTGGTTCTAAGTCTAATCGAAAGCATACGTATGACGCTGGCAATAGCATGGGAAACAGCAGTTGTCTTTCACCAAGTGGTATAGCTTTGCATTCATCGCCTAAGAACAGACTTTCTATCATTGATAAAAATGGAGACTATAGAAAGTAGAAGTCAACTAAACTTATATCTCAGGGCAGTCCAAAGAACTTGATTATGGGCATGCAGTATCAAAAGCAGCAAGTCAAGATTCAAAATCTGATGCAGCCAATGAACTCAAAGTAAACTACTGATAAAGATTTAGACAATGCAAATATCTCTGAAAGAAGTTCTAGAGTAGTATAGTCAAAGAAATCAGATCACAATCCTCCGAATAACTCTGTGGTCTAGACTTAAGAGACTCCTAGAAGCTCAATCGTCATTCAAGCCAACTTAATAATTCCCCAAAACATAGGAGAAAGAGTGGACACTCAGGATTCCACAATCTCAGACCCAAATTTATCACCAAGAACAAGAGGAGTTAATAAGCTCATCAAGCATATCAAATTATCCTTCAGATCAACTGCTTTGCCTCCTAACACCACTGTAGATTTCTATCGAATCGGAAAAGTTCTAGGCAAAGGTGCATTTGGTAAGGTCAATCTAGCTCTACATAAGTTAAGTGGTAAATTTGCTGCAGTCAAGTCAATCAATAAGTAATACTTGAGCGAGGAAGCCTAGACAAAGAAGGTGATGCAAGAAGTGGTTATACTTAAGAGAACTAGACACCGCAATATAGTCAGACTTTATGAGTTCTTCGAGACTTAGAAGCATATACTATTTGTCATTGAACTATGTGCTGGAGGGGACTTATTGAATTATGTAAGGAGGCGTAGAAGACTCAAGGAAGATGTAGCCAAGTGTATATTCAAATAGATTATTGAAGGACTTGGCTACTGCCATTCAAAGTCCATTCTTCATAGAGATATCAAACTGGACAACATACTGCTAGATAGTGAAGGTGAGGTAAAAATCTGCGATTTTGGGGTCAGCAAAATTGTCAAAAAAGGAGAAATTATGACTGAGCAATGTGGAACTCCGGCTTACATAGCGCCTGAAATACTGAGAGATAAAGGATATGAAGGCTTTTCTGTTGACATATGGTCTGCTGGTGTAGTTCTTTACGCAATGCTTTATGGCACTGTACCATTCAAGGCAAATAACATGAGTGAGCTGTAAAAACTCATCATCAAAGCTAATTACACGCTAAAGGATGACATATCAGAGGAGGCAAGATCACTTCTAACAGGATTGCTTGAAAAAGATCCTCATAAGAGATTGACTATAGAGGAAATACTTCAACACTAATGGCTATTAGATGCAAGTGAAAAGATTCAGCTGTTTACCTAGCAGGAAAAAGATTATATTAAGAATGAATTTACCTATAATGATACTGATAGATTCAATCGCAATGAAACTGACCCCTTCACTGAGCACATGCTAGATTCTACTAATAACTCAATGTTAAAGAATCAGACTAGTAAGAGTGTGATACTGGCACCTTTCAATTCAACCAAGAGCGATTTAAGAGATGATACTCCAGCCCTAACTGAATCAATGAAAGCTTTACTTTAGAGCAAGAGATGCATGAAGTTTGCACCTAGAGTCAGAGACATTGATAAGTAGTATGAAATCAACAATAATGCAGAACTAGACAATGGAGTGTATCATAAACTAGAAGAAGAAGAAGAGGTTCAGCCAGTCGAAAATGACCAGAAGAGCAAGGAGGAGTTGAAGATTAATAAAAAGAAATTAAAAGAACTAAATGGAGGGATTGACAGCTTGCAGAGTAGTTTTAACAAGGAATCCAGTTTGAGGTCAGATGACGAGGAGGAAAATATCAAAATTCATAAAAATAAAAAGTCATCAGCTGGTAAAGAAAAATAGACTGAACTTCAAAAGCTTGAAAGCCTTATTTATTAATAGGAGGATGATATAGATAACCCCTACTAGGAGATATTAAATGATAACAATAAAAATAATCACAATGACCAGATTCTGATTCGTGATGAGCAGTAGCAGCAGTTTGATATAAGTATTGAAGATAGAACTCCAAGGATTGACAATAGGATAGAAAATAGTGCTTCCAGAGTCTCACATAGTGCGGGTGGCCATCACAACAATCACTATGGCTTGCAAACAGCCTAGACACTTATTATAGATGAGCATATTATAGGTTCAGTCGAACTTATGGGTTACTCCAGAGAATATATTATAAAATGCCTCAACAACAATGAGCTAAATTATGCTTCCGCTGGATACTATTTGCTTCAAAATCAGCATTCGCTAAGCTTTGGAGACCCACTAGCAAAAATCAGCTCCACTAAATAACTTAGCATCTTTAGATGAAATCCTGAAAAAGCTGTAAATATTATATTGACATGAATATAAAGTTTTCGAAACAGTGAGGATTGAAACAATGTTTACCTAGATCACTAATTATACCAGAGAGTAAAAAGTACTCATGTGAATTAATTACATATTATCACTATACCCATAATTACACTAATATCTTTCTAATCTAAACTGATGTCTGTAAATTCACGATAAAATCCCTACAATAATTTTACCTATCTAACTGCAAACGGGGTTTTGGGGTTTTGGGGTTTTGGGG